CTTTTGGAAGACCAAACAAAGTAGTTTTGCTTTCACAACAAAAAATACGGCGGCCTAGCGTGAACTGAGGCCGGGCTAAAGTGAGAAGAGGCGGCGGGGTTGAGAACGGCGCAGCCGGCGGATTCGACGAAAGAGTGGGGGCGTGTTAGAACGAGCCGTTTTAGGTAGGCGTGGTTGACTCTTAACATTTATAAAGAATATCTCTTTGGATTTGAGACTTTAGTCTTTGCAAGTTTACAGATCTTCTTTATGCACCAAGAGCTTGTAACACTCCAAAGAGAAAGGAAAAATGTAAATCGCATCACATGACCCCTTTAACTTTAACTAAATCCCAGGGATTTCAGTACCGCGATGTAAAATAGACGACCCCTTCCCCCCCAAAAAAAATTTTTTCCAATCCGGTGCTCAGCAGCGATGGACGATTAAGGTAATGCCAAAATAATTATGCCATAACTATTTTTCTGATATTTCATTATCTTAAAGTTAAAAAGACATGTAAAACCAGTTTTAATGTGCAATATGCTAATTATGTTTTAAGTATAGGTGTAATTATACTGACCTGATCTTGATAAATTAATTAATTTATTTATTAATAATTTAATCTATATTTTGACCATTTTGATATATTAGTTTTTTTTAATTGATTTATTTGATTCATTTATATTTGAGTAAATAAATAAATAAAATGATGTAGACTAAAGTAATGAAGCTCTTCAGGTTAATATTCTTTGGATTCTGTTTCCATCAAACTGGCTCCCATCAGCTATGTATTTCATCAGAAGAATATATCACAGGAATAATTCCCTCAGAAGAAGAACTCAAACATCTGCTGGAATCCGGCACATCTGGCACTATTTGGTTATTCAGCAGCTCAGACATTTACTGCATGTTTGTTTTCTTCTCGGTCTGCAATAACGCGCTGATGATGTTTCATATACAAACAGTCATAGTCCTCGGAATGAGGGATATGATTGGACAAACATTTTATGGTCGAAATAAATACATATAAATACATTTAGACCCTTAACTTAGTGATTGCTATCGGGATGTGATTTTCAACAAGCATAAAACATTTTTTGGAACCAAATCACAGACCCTTCCTTTAACACAAATACTGTTTAATTCCGTATACAAAATATGCAATGAAAGATAATAGTAGCTTGCAGGGAAATTTGCCATTTTTAACAGTAAAATTAATAATTAAAAAAGTGTTTAATACATTGTACAATGATGTGTTTGCCTTATAATTTTCTGTTTTTCTTTTTAATTATCCTGCTCAAATAAAAGAGGAGGGAGAAAAAAAAAAGAGGAGATTGGAAATCCACCCCTTCTCTCTCTCTCACACACACACACACACACACACACACACACACACACATACACACACACACACACACAAACAACCAACCTGAAGGTCATGAATACACTGAAACTAATGAGATAATTAACTAGATAACAGGTCAACAGAATGAGCAACTACACAGACTGAGGTCAAAAGACATCTAATCCAAAACACAATGAATAAAAAAATGAATGTAAGTGTTACAATAACGTCAATATTTTCAAACGCGCCATCAGCCCTTTTTCCATTTTCTCTAGTTTCGGTGTTGTCAAGAACACTAGTTTCTCTCCTGGAGTGGACTGTTGTGTTTCTCATCTGTGTTTGTTTGTGTGTTCAGTATTTATGCAGAAAGGAACTTGATCTTCAACAATGCTTGGTGTGTTAAATGAGGTTCAAATGCATATATTATCACACAATCACTCCTTCCATTCCCTCAGGTATTGTACATTTCCTCAAAAACACAATGACCATTAATAAACATGTGAAAACACACAATCATTAGCAGAGTTTGCATGTTTGTGTGTAAAGCCATCAGGGGCTTGTTCATTTGGTGTTGAAACCCTTCAGCGTTTGATGAGCTTCAGGTTGTTACATTAGAAGTTCAGACGGCTGAACAGTTGATGGTTGTAGCAGCGACTGCATTTGATGCTCTTCCTTCAGTCAGATTATTCACTGACTTTTAGGAGGCTGGACTTTAAAGGAACTGTCAGTCATTTGGGGGTAAAATTTAGGCTTGTTTTGTGTAAGCAATTTTTGGTATCACTAGCATAAAACAAACGGCCATCAAATGTTTTAAATAAATAATATGTAATAGTTTCATATAGTGATAATTAATGACTCTACTTATATTTTGTTGATGTACCAATCATACTGATCCTAGAAAGTGCTTGAGCAGCATGTGTTTATAAAGAAGACATACTTGTTAGACCATATTGTGATTTCCACAGTCAGACTATTGTTCATATTTTGAGTGAAACATTAGAAGCTGTTTATGTGATTTGCTTCTGCAACTTTCCATTTATATTCCTCGCATGGTTCAGGAAATATGCCAGTTAGTTATTGAAAACAAGTAAATCACCGTCAAGTAGGTTTATTGTCTTACTGTAGTTACAAAAAAGCTGCAAGAGAGTCACATTTCAAATGAAACTTTACTGATGTCCTGAATAATGCAACTAAAATCATGATCATTTTGGTTAAGAGTATTGGAACAATGCTGTTTGTATGGACATTTCTATTATATCATATCGTCATCATCGTATTACTGATTTTATTTCAGTCCGTAGAAACATTGCTGTTGTTTTTCACATGCAGATTTTAGTTAAGATCTTCAGATGTGACAAAGTTTGAACATTCAAAACAAAGTGAATTTAAAAAGTTTCATATGAAAATTGTAATATTACAATGGTTTTTATTTTAATGTTTTATTTAATTTAATTTTTCTTTATTTATTTTTATTTTGTTTACAGAATAACCTAATTTAAGTGCCATTCAAATAAAAACAGGTAAAATTACTGAACACAAGATGTTTAACAGACATATTTAGATGTTCATAATGCACATACGTATATTTTTATTATAATGAGTAATTTAAGAACACTCTTCTCACAGATCCATTTATACGTATAACCACATGGAAAATCAGCCCATCCTGGTGAATGAGTTAGAGCACGGTCTTCCTCTATTGTATTCGGTTGTCCAGGCTGCCAGAACCTGCATCAACAGATCAGCATTAGTTCAGGGCTGCTTTCTGTGTGATATGATACTGACTGAGAGAATCGTTTATAAAATAATAATCAGTTCAGTTCAGTGATTTCTCACCCAGAGGTCATATTGCTGCCATCAACCCATTTCCATGTGCCCTACAAATCAGTGTCAGTCAGACCAATCCAGACTTTAGCAACACCAGAAATGTTCTTCACAAAATCCTGAGAAGTGAAACAAAACAAAAACACATTTTATAAAATAAGCACAGACTGATTTCAGCACATTATCTTTCATTTAAAAACTAAACACCACGATTGCGCACACACGCGCACACACACTGACTTGTTCCTCTGTGTTGTTTAAGATGACCAGATCTGCTCCTCTCTCTGTACAGTATCTTCCATGGAAAATCAGCCCATCCTGGTGAATGAGTTAGAGCACGGTCTTCCTCTATTGTATTCGGTTGTCCAGGCTGCCAGAACCTGCATCAACAGATCAGCATTAGTTCAGGGCTGCTTTCTGTGTGATATGATACTGACTGAGAGAATCGTTTATAAAATAATAATCAGTTCAGTTCAGTGATTTCTCACCCAGAGGTCATATTGCTGCCATCAACCCATTTCCATGTGCCCTACAAATCAGTGTCAGTCAGACCAATCCAGACTTTAGCAACACCAGAAATGTTCTTCACAAAATCCTGAGAAGTGAAACAAAACAAAAACACATTTTATAAAATAAGCACAGACTGATTTCAGCACATTATCTTTCATTTAAAAACTAAACACCACGATTGCGCACACACGCGCACACACACTGACTTGTTCCTCTGTGTTGTTTATGATGACCAGATCTGCTGCTCTCTCTGTACAGTATCTTCTGCTCTCAGTCCAGTTCTTTGTCTCAGAGGAAATGAAGTAAAGACTGGATTGATGGCACTTCCATCCATCTATAAACACAGATAAGCCATCCCTAGTGAAATATAAATATACTAAAATGCATTTGAAATACATTTTTTTCATGATAAGTATACTACAAATACATTTACATATTTATGTACTTAATAAAAATACCCTGCAATTGTACCTTTGGTATACTAAACCGGTATGCTTAAAGTCTGCTAAATTGGAACAACTAACTTTGTACTTAAAGCATTTGAATTGTGAAATATAAATATACTAAAATGCATTTGAAATACATTTTTTTCATGATAAGTATACTACAAATACATTTACATATTTATGTACTTAATAAAAATACCCTGCAATTGTACCTTTGGTATACTAAACCGGTATGCTTAAAGTCTGCTAAATTGGAACAACTAACTTTGTACTTAAAGTATTTGAATTGTGTGGAAGTAGTGCTGAAGTCCAACTAAAGATATACTGAAGTATTTTTGATTGTGTTAAAGTGGAACTATAGCAAGTATACTTCAGGTACACTTTAAATATCTTGCTTTTAAAGACTGATGTTATTCAAAGATCATACAATCCTCATCAACAGTGATATTAAAACACACTTTAGGCTTAATATTAAGAGATGTGCATTGTGCACAAGTAGTACTCCAAATAAAGTTCAGTTATAATTTTTATATCAGTAAGTCTTGAGTGATATGTCAGTAAATATGTTAATAGAACTATACTTAATATTAAATAAATGTACTTTTAATATATTACTTTTTTTTTACTAGGGCATGAACTAAATTTTAATCTAAACCAAATTAAAATGGTCATTTATATTAGTTGTGCTAGTAGTGTATATATTATTGTAGTTGTTTATAGTATTTATTTATTACTGTACAATAACTGACAGTATACTGTATTGTGTGTTCATATTCAATTCTCAGGTCTTTGAATTTTTCTTTTCGAGTGATTTTCATCTACTGTAAGAGCTGTTTACAGTAGTGTAATGAAAATAAACTTTTCTTAAAGCTTATTGCTTAATTTCACTGTATCTGTACGCTCTGTTTGTTGTATACTGTAACAGACACTGACTTTCAGAAGGATTCCTGTTTCCCAAAAGGAGGTTTTTGTAACAGTGTTTTGAATTGATCTCACTAGTGTTCTCTAGACACTGAAGCAGTCTGTGTATTTGTCGTGCTTGTGTCTCATCTGAGGCCAAAGATTGATTCTGACAAAAGATAATGTTTTTGACTCAAATATTTGATTTTGACCTGTAAGTTTGAAGTTTGTACAAGTTGGTGTGTAGTTTTGAGATTGTGTTTATAGTTGTGAGAAAATGGTGAATTATTTCATGAATTGTGTGTTAGCAATCAAGAAAAACTAATGAAATGCTTATGCTCAATTAAATGAATATTGACTAATAAAGCCACTTGTTGCAATGTCTATTTAACTATTTACTCATCTGCTACAATAACAATGTTACGGTGGCCGAGAGAGCTCAACGCGCTGCAACTTAAGAAAA